TCATTTCGGCACACTTCTCACACGTTGGGCTCCGCATAGGGAGCTCCGCCGAAGGCTCTAGTTGCACGATCTGCATGGCGCCTCCACACCCGTTCCGGCACACCCTTCACACGATTCGTGGCCCCATAGGGAACTCCACCGAAGGCCCCCGTGGCAGGGTCCGCAGGCCCCCACCGCGCCCATGTCGGCACATCCCTCACACGTTTCGTGGCCCCAAAGGGAGCTCCACCGAAGGCCCCAGTGGCAGGGTTCGCATGGCGCCATCGCATCCATTCCGGCACACTTCTCACACGATTCGTTGGCCCATAGGGAGCTCCACTGGAGAACCCAATTGCAGCGCTTCATGACCAGCAGACGAGGGCGACTGCCACACGTTGTCAGAGCTTCATGAGGAATGGCTGACATGCGTCGGCGGTTCTCCTCGCTCATCCCGCGTAGCGCCGCCCTAAAGCGGGTCCTGTTCGCATCGCCTCGCCACCAGACCGCGCGTTGGACATGTGCGACGGTATCGACGTCTCTGCCGCCTGAGAGAAAACAGAATCCGGGGTCGTCTCCCCGTGCCGTCCTTCACGCCTCGTGCCCGCTGTTCCCCAGTGCCCGTCAGCCGCAACGGGCCACCGCCACATGCAACCTGCTTCGGCTGACCTCCGCGCCCCCCTGCGGGTGGCCTCTGCTGCCCTGCCAGTTGCCTCGTGCTCTTCAACGCTAGGTCTCACCAAAACGGCGATCGACATCCCAGGGCGATCCTCCCGCTCCGCCCGCCGTACCCATACCCGCGCTGCCCTGGGCCCCATCCTTCCCGCGGCGCGCTGCTTATGAGGCTATACCTTGCGATATTCGGAGTTTGCGCGCCCCCCTCTTTCGTCTGATCTCCCTCGCGGTTTTCGCATGCCCCTCGAGCCTCGCGCGTTTCGGCGCGCCCCCCCACGTTTCGCGGCCCCATCGCGAGCTCTACTCGAGGCCCCAGTGGCTGCGCCCGCATGGCGGCCCCGCCATCTTTCGACGAACCCTTCGCGCGCTTCGTGGCTCCATAGGGAGTTCCACCGAAGACGCTCCTCACAACGGCGGTATTCCCAACTGCGTGTGGTCGTGTCCTTCGCCAAGATTGTTTCGTGTTTGTGTATCTGTTTAGGGTGTTTCCCATGGGATTTTTGGGATGTGCACCAACGGTTGTCTCGTGTTGTTTGGGTACACCTGTTGTTTTGGGTTCGATTGTTTCCAAATGCACCAGAGTTGTGCGTCGCCAGGCAGCTTCGCCTGGTGGCGCGCCAGGCGACCCCGAGAGGTCACGAGAGGTTTGCTCCTTCGGGGCCTTGTCGTCGGTCACGAGAGGTTGCTTGCTCTTTCCAGAAACAGATCACCAGACTCCAGAGAGCGTCCAGCAAAGAGGGCGTAACACTTTCCCCCGATCTTCGCACTGTGGAAAACAATTTGTACCGGAGCAAGGCAATCGCTTGCGCGTGCCGCATTGCGCGATTACGAAATCATTGCGCGTTTTTCATGGTCCGGGCGTCTGACGGCCTTTCCATGGGGGGCTTTGCTTGAAATCTGCGGGGCTTATGGAATTATTTCCCGTCCTGACCCCACGGACCACAACGATCCATTACATACAGTTGTGTCAGCGGTGCGGACCCGCACGCAAGATAATGGAGCAGGCTCCGATGGTGGGGGTGGGCGCTCAGATCGGCGATTCGAGGCGACGTGTGGGGCCCCAAGGGTCAGGAAAACGATGGCGAACCAGTACATCTTGGCAGACAGTGGGATTCTTGCCAACAGTAATCGAACAGTTACGAATCCGCACTTGCGGATGAGACTGTCGAGCGAACCGCCCCCGTGTGTAGCCCACGCGTGCAGCCCCCGACAGTAGCCCCTAAGTGTGTCCCCCACGCGTCGCCCCCAAGTGTAGCTCCCAAGTACAGCCCCCAAGTGCAGCCCCGACGTGAAGCCCCCAACCGTAGCGCCCATGCGTCGCCCCCAAGTGTCGCCCCCAGGTGTAGCCCCCATGCGCAGCCCCGAAGTGTGGCCCCCCAGAGGCCGGACCCTCTATCCAGCCATGCGCGCGCAGAGGGAAGCAGTAAGACCATTAGGCCCCCCCTCCCGCACTCTGACGATGATCGCAATTTCAGATACCTCTTGTTGTAAGTTCTGCAATGTCAATGATGAGGCCTTAGTTCTTACATTACAAGAAGCATCGAACTTACGAAGCGTATGGGGCGCCACGGGACATCGATCTTGTGAGACGAATTGGGCGCCATCACCATTGCTAGCCCCGACGTGTGAAACATTTGATCGAAGTCGCCTGCGGCGAGTCGCCGCCGCCCCTTCCCTTTTGCAAACGCCCGTGCGGCCAAACGCAAGGCCGAAGTCTGGACGAGCTATTGGACTATGTGTTCCCCCGCCGTTGTGAACCCCCTTGGGGGAACACTTGGGAGAGGGGGAAACATGAGGGGGGTCCTCTTGGGTCGTCTTGCGCTCCTGTTGGGGGCATCCTGTGCCGTCT